TGGGTCAGCTTCCTGCCCCTCTTGATTCTCATCTCCAGCTTGGAATTCCTGTGGTAGTATGTGTACCATGTTCACTGATACTGGGGGAAACGAGCCAAACTGGATGGCTGGCTGTACCTGTTTCCCCTCTTGGTCACTTTGGTCGACTTCCTTAGAAACATCCTGCATGATGCATTCTGGTATTTCATTGCTAACTGATCCCTTCGAAGGATCTTTCTCAACTGGCTCTTCAGTCAGAAACGTTTGTTCAGCCATGAAGGCTTCGAACATCTCTTTTTCCATCATTTCTTTCTTTTGGCTTGTGCCAATCTCTTCTTCTGTCTCGCTATCACTCTCCATCAGAGCCTTTTCCAATCCAGCTAAACTAGTCTTCTCTCTGGCTGTTAGTTCGTCATGAACCTTAGCCAATTGTTCTCGGCTGCAGACCACTTTGCTCTGTGGAACCGGCTTTGGAGCGTGGTCTGACTTTGGGTTCTTCCTTCCTTCCGTTTTGACTAGTGAAGAATTTTCTCCACCTTCCTTCATATCTTTCTGGTACTGGGTGTACCTGCGCTGAATTTTTCTCCTCTGTGATCTTGAGTTGACTGGGACCATGTCTGGTTCCCTCGTCTTTGGATGTTTAAGCAGTACCCAGTTATTCGGAGCCACCATAGGAGGCTTGATCATCCTGCCTTGGTTTATAACATCTCCATAAGCAAGCAATTCTCTAGGTTTGTTTTGCATTACAAACTAGTCTGGGACTCCAGGCACCCACGAACCTACTGATCCAGATGTGGAACTGTTCCTTTCTGCCTTCGAAACCGCCTTCGAAACTGGCTGTGAAGGTAGATGCTTGTTCCTGACTTTATGTTCCGAGTCTGTTTCTGGCCTTTGATGAAAGTGGCCACTTTCAGTTCTGCGTGAGGTTAGTCTAGGAGGCCAATCCCTGGCTTTAATCCCGTAACCTGAACTCTTCCCCAATCTTCTTTCAGAATGGTTGCTTTCTACTCTGTAGTAGTTAGGTGGTCTAGACTCATACAAGGACCTCTTGCCTTTAGTATGCATTCTGTCCACTGCAGGTTCAACCATTGATGGTCGCTGCCTATCACTACCTGGGTACGGCCTTTTGTTGTAAGCATTGGTTGGCTTAGAATGTCTTTGAACATCTCTGTAGTATTGCTTTCCATCAATTGGAAGCCCCCTCAACCATTTATGACTCAGTCTGCACCTGGGACACATCCTCTGCATTACTGCTGCTTCCAAGGAATTGTCATCTAGTGCTTCTTCGTCAGATTGCTCCTTCTGATGTGAGAAACCTTGTCCAATAGCTGGTGGGTTTCTAGTCTCCTTCTTAGCAGTTGTCTGGTTGGCAGTATGCATTTGCACGTTGACCTCTTCCAACTCCTGCAGAGATAGATTTTGGAAGTTTGGTACAACCACATTAGCTGTGCCTTCTCCAACTTCTGGAAACGGGTTACTATCAATCCCCATAATCTTTTCTGTTTTGGTTGGGAATTTCAGACTTCCTTTCCGAATCTGCTCCTAGATCCTGTCTCGAAAAACAATGCAGTTTTTAGTCGAGTGAGACCAAGAGTTATGCCATTTACAATATATTTTTCCTTTAAGTTCATCTGGAGATGGCAGTTTTACTCCCTTTGGTAACTTAAGGAAATTGGCTGCAAGCAGATGGTCAAAAATGTCATCTGCTTTTGCCAGATCGAAAGAATACTTTCTGTGGAAATCTTTCTTTTTAAACTGATGGTCGATGGTGTTGTCTTTATGAATCAATGCTTCACAAATTACAGGTTCTTTGCCCACAATATCTGCTGCATCGATTTCATAATTGGGATCTCTATAATATGTCTTATACGAGGCATTATTTCGATCTTGTTCTTCTTCTAATAATGCTTCATATCTAGACACCTTATAGGTTAATTCGACCAAATCCCTGAACTCAGTTGAATCAAACTTCTTTCGAAGCCTGAACTCTAAACCGTTTTGAGCCAATCTTACAAACTCTGGCTCTGGGAGAATGACTCTACATTTATTCCGAGCCCTTTTAAATCTGGCAATAAACTGAGTAGCCTTTTCCTCAGGCCTTTGACTCAATCTAGCCAAGTCTGCCATGGAAACTTCTGGCTCTGATTGGAAGAATTGGGCATGGAATGCCTCTTCCATCTGTTGTTTAGCGTTTTTTTTTTTTTTTTTTGTATTGACATCAATTGAGTTAGATTGAACTGAGATTAAGAATTAGTAATAATAATTTAAGGACTAAATAATAAAATTGATAATTTAATGATTAAAGAAACATAAAAAATAACAATAATTTAGAATATAAAAATAAAATTAATCATTTTTTTCCACTACCCTCACTAGTAGGAAAATTCCATACCTCACACTTTTGCATGAAAATTCCATAGACCTTCTCCTCAAAAAAGAAAATTCCATAAACTTGTCAAGCCTAGGAAACAACAGCCTGTTTAAATTCCAAAGTCGCCATATATTTCCACAAAGGAAGTTGCACTGTGAGTAGCCTCTGAAGCTCCCTAGAAATCTCTCTATTTTTCATATTTATATCTATCTATATATAGATATCGATATATCAATACAAAATACTAACAATACTCAACTAACAGAGTTTCGACATATCATTTTTGAAGAAGATCGATCATGGAGATCACAGTCATATCAGCTGAAGGCCTCAAGAATAAATCCTCAGCCCTCTTCTCAAGCTCTCTCAGACCCTTTGTCACCCTCACTGTACCACCGCCACCCACCGCCACCAACGGTGATAAGCCCTGCCACGTGTACAAATCAAGGGTGGATGATGAAGGAGACATTAACCCAACTTGGGGTGATAAGTTTCATCTACCAATTGATGCCACCTTCTTATACAAAACACACTCTTTTATATATCTCCAATTGTACACCAAACGTGTGATGGGTGGTCAGACTCAACTGGGTTGGTGTCAGATTCCGGCATCCGATATCGTAGATGGGTTGTCGCCTCCGGGATTGCTCCGCCGCCTGAGTTACCGGCTCCGGGAAAGAGATGGTTCGAGAGGCCACGGTGTTGTCAACATTGCAGTGAAGTTGGACTCTTCAATTTCTCTGAATTCTAATCTGACACACTTGCCGGAGATGGGTTTGTGTCAGAAAACGGTGATCGGTGTTCCAGTGACAATGTCGCCAGCGGCCAGTGGTGTGTTGGATGGTAGTTGTAACAGAAATGGTAGTTACACAGAATTCGAACACAGAAAATGCACAAAAAGTATAAAATGGAGTTGAGATTCATTTTAACTGTTATGTGGATCATCCTTAAAATAAATGTGAATCGCATAGTGTGTTTTCTGTATGTTTTAATTTTGTGTGTGTGCATTATTAACCAGAGTAATGATAAAGACTAAGAATCCATACACAAAGTATTGTTCTCCAAATGATTCATTTTAAGTGTTGAATCTTATCATACAAAAATTGAATCTAAACTTCACATTTCTTTTTTTTATATATTTTTCTGTGTTTTGATTCTCAGTCTAGCAAAATTCTATTGGTAAATGTAAGCAGGAAAATAAACACCTAGGAAAATTAACCATAAATTTATCTAAAATCTTTTGGAGACTTAGGGATTGTTTGGAATGACCTAAACAAGTGCACATTTTGTCTTTTTACGAAAAGATGTACAGAAAAGTAGAGAGGTGATGTGATGAAAAAAAGATAAAATGATAGATTATTTTCAACTTCTCAAACTTGGCCTTAAGATTTTAGTTAAAAAGTTATTATAAATTGTCTTATCACTCTTTTTATTTTTTTATATATATTTTCATAAAAAATTAAAAAATCAACTAAAAAATTAATACGAAGCTATACAATAGTAATTGAACTGGATGTGCTGTGAGTCTTTACTAATAATGAATTTAGTTCATATAATTTAAATTTTAGGTAATTTCTATTTTTGTTTTTGAATTTTTAGCTTTGCTCAACTGTGCAGAAGCAAACATGATAAAAAAAAGTGGGCTAAAGGTGGGCCAGGGCATGTTTAAAGTTTAAACAAATCGACGGTTTGGATTGCGCTGATCATTTTGGATTTAGTAGTGCCACATATATTGGATCGTGTAAAAAGGTGTGTATTGGTTTGGTGGATATGTGGGACAATGAGGACGTGTAATGTTTGTCCAATTGAGATTAACGTTTTGTTTGAATAATGAATTTAAATAAAAATCAATGTTATATTTGAATAATAGATTTAAATAAAAATTTAAAAATAAAAAAATATTTCATTTTTATGTTTTATTTATATATCCAAATACATAAGTTAGACTTATAATCAATGGATTGGTAATTTCCGGACAATTGTCTAAGTAGTTATAAAAAGAGTACTTTAGTGTCAAGGTGAGTAAAATTTTACATTCAAATCGATAGAGAAACATTGGTATGCAATGTAATCTAACCATTAATATACTATAGACGGATGTCACTTTATCCATTCAACTAAAAATTGTTACTTTTTACTTTCTTAATCTTTTAATTTATTTAACCAAGTGACAGTTTGTTAGATTTTAATTATCCTTCATGTAAAACCTTTAATATTTATAATTACTCTCCTCCCAATTAAAAATATAAAAAAATCTCTAATTTATTTCAATCTGAATCTTCTATTATTTTACTATGAAAAGGTGGAAAAGTGGAATATAAACTGTGCATGTAAATTTCTTAACTAAGTAGGTTCCCTCTCTAATCATAAAATTGGCGTGGTTTTTTTTTGTTTGTTTTATTTTTAATAATTAGATGTCCGATCAAGTTTACACGTATGGCAATTAATTTCAAAATCTTAAAATTAATAAGTGGATAAATTTCTTGTGCTTTTTAGGGTGACTCGAACTCAAGATTTTAGATTTTATTTTTAATCGTTCGACCAACCTATTAATTTCTTCTCTAATCATAAAATTGACATGCCAAGCCAACATTTTAAACTTTTTTTTTTTTTAATTTTTTTAATCCCTTTCATAATCAAATGTCAACAGATGGTTGAAATTGAAAATTCCTAATTTAGATGAGGTTGAGTTGACTTGAATGATTCCAAGTAAAATGTGTGTATTTTTCTTTTCATTTCATTTCTAGGTTGGAACTTGGAAGATCTAAGGGAACTGCCCCTTAGGTGCTGTGATGAGGTGGCAACTTTCAACACCGTCTTATCCATTGTAATGTAATAAATTTGTGCTCCATTATTCTTTGTGGAAATTTTGTGGGGAGATTGGTGGAGTGGAAATGTGCTGGCATTTCACACAGGTGAGTAGGATTTGATTTTTGGAGACATAATTAGTGTTTTTTATTTATGGTTGAAGCTGACCGTGCTATACTTCGTTTGTGATTTTACCTCATGTATTGAGAGTTAGTGCATTCTCTTCTTACCTTGGTGGTAGATCATTTCCTATGAGTTGGGATAAATTTGGCCTACACATTGGCCCTGTTTGGTAGGTCTTATTTTTAGTTTATTTTAACTTTTAGCTTAATTTAAGCTATTTTGATGTGTTTGGTTCAGCTTAATAATACAGATTATAACTTTTTGTAAGTCAAAAATCAACTTAGTTTTTGAGTGGGAGAGGAGAAGCTTAATTTATAAGTCAAAAATTAACTTATGTTCACAGCTATAAATTATAATCTGTTAAGGTATAATCTATAATCACTTTTCCAGTCTTTCCAAACGGGGTCATTGAGCTGCAGTGATGCCATCAAGAAATACCTTTTTTTCTAGTTCAAAAATAATAATAATAATAATATATGGGCACTTAATCAATATCAATTATTTTACTTATACAGAAATTAATTATAAAATTAAATATAATTCTCACAAAATTATGAGATTCATAAAAAGTAAATTTTATCTAATTATATTTAATTTTATAATCGATTTTCAGATATGATTGATTCCACATGTTGTGGTATCTACATTTATAATAAGAGAGTAATGCAATTTATAGGACGGATGGACCTACTCTGATTCTTTTCACAAATTATTAGTTTCGTTCACATGTTGTGGGATCAACATGTAAGTAAGTGATTGGTGATCCTCTGGTGAGGTGGAAGTGATCTTAGACTAACTCAAATTTGTGAGGTGGAAGGTTAAGTGGCTCACAAAATTTCCAATAAGATGTCTCAAGTTGAAGGATAAGTTTTTGGATGCTAGTGTTGCTAGATGTCACTGTGGTTTTTTATTTTTATTTTTTTTGAATAGTAGAAATTTTCATTAAAGTAAAGCAAAGTGACACTTAACGGAAAGCTTATACTGCAATGCAGACGCTGATCATAACAATTCAACAATAGAACAAGTCTAGAATAAAAACATAGATTACAGCTGTAGAGAAGGTAATCAATCTACAATGAGAGTACTGATGGACTCCTAATCACACAATACGAGACAAACAGCACAAACAAAAAATAAAAAACAAAAAAAAAGAAGCCCAATCCTTAGTGTGCTCACCAATGCAACACAGACCAAATCAATGTATCAGGGAGGAAGATTCCAGTCATCACTATGAACCCAAGGCAGCAAAAAAACATACGTGTGCTCACCAATGATTACATTGACAGCAATGCTTGGAAAGTCAGGCTAAGGAAAATCCATCCCAAATCCAATGCTTGGCTTTGTTGATCCTGCTGGCCAACCTCCTAGCCTCTTTGCAGCAACTCTTCACCATCGGGGCGAACCTGGTGGAGGTGGGTTCGTGGAGGCAGCAGATCCGGTAAGAGAATGCAAATCTAGTGGTGATGTGATGGTAGCGGCGCTGGCATGAGGCAAAGGAGGAAGGAGATGGTAGATTTGGGCCATGACTAGGTAAGAAAAGAAGAAAAACAAAGATGGATTTGACCAAGATGGGAAGAACACCTCACAAGGAGGGAGAAGACGGAAAGACAAGCTTCCAAGGTTTATTTACCTACAACCAGCAGATAAAAAAGGGAGGAAAGGGGGTAAAAGTAGGAGGCCGAAGGCTGGAGGTTGAAGCCCCCCCCTCCCCAGCGCAAGCAGTGCCAAGGAAGAAACCCTAGAAAAAGAGTAGAAAGAGAAGCTCTCACAATATACAAAAGTTTTTGGTTTAGTGTTTGATGATTGTTTTCTTTAACAGTTTTTTTCTTTTTTAAAATTTTTAGGGAAATTTTAAAAAAAAAGAAATTAAAAAATTTACTTTTAAATTCTATTAAATTAGACAAAAAAGAAATTATCAACAAAATAAAATTCATTAATAAATGAGATTTTTATTGATAAGTCCAATTTAGAAGTGTTTTAACCCAAGAAGTCCATAAATGAATTTTTTAACCCATTTAGTCCCATGTATGTATAGTTTTATTCCATAAAGTCCATTTTCTTGATTTACACTATTTTCTTGGACACTTATGCCCTTATATTTAATTTTGATACCCTTATAAATATTTTTTGAACGATTAGCAATTTAATGATGTGAACATTCATATTTTAAAATTCACATTGGTAGGAATGTAAAATTGGCCCGTGGGCGGCCCGAAACCCGGCCGCAAGCCGAGGCGGGCCCGGCCCGTTGACAATGTGAATATTCACATTGACATATTAACATTCACATTAATAGAAGTGTAAAATTGACTCCCGTCCCGTGGCGGCGCAAAACCCGCCTGCGACCCATGGCCAGCCCGGGGCGGTCCCGGTCCGGCCCGTCGACAATGTGAATATTCACATTGACATGTTAACATTCACATTGATAAGAGCATAAAATTGGGCCGCGGCCCATGGGCGGCCAAAAGCCCGTCCGCAGCCCGAGGCGGGCCCGGTCCGGCCCGTTGACAATGTGAATATTCACATTGACATGTTAACATTCACATTGATAGGAGTATAAAATTAGTCCGTGCCTCGTGGTTGCCCAAAACCCGTCCACGGCCCATGAGCGGGCCCGGTCCGGCCTGTTGACAATGAGAATGTTCACATTGACATGTTAATATTCACATTGATAAGAGTATAAAACTGGACAGCAACCCAGGGCGGGCCCGACCCGGCCCGGCCCGTTGACAATGTGAATATTCACATTGACATGTTAACATTCACATTAATAGGAGTGTAAAATTGGCCCGCAGCCCAGGGCGGGCCCGACCCGGCCCGACCCGTTGACAATGTGAATATTCACATCGACATGTTAACATTCACATTGATAAGAGTATAAAACTAGACAGCAGCCCAAGGCGGGCCCGACCCGGCCCGACCCGTTGACAATGTGAATATTCACATTTCAACAGGAGGGCCGGGCTGTTGACAATGTGAATATTCACATTGACATGTTAACATTCACATTAATAGGAGTGTAAAATTGGCCCCTGTCCCGTGGTGGCGCGAAACCCGCCGCGCCCATGGGCTGCTCGGGGGCGGGCCCGGTCCGGCCCGTTGACAATGTGAATATTTCACAATTGACATGTTAACATTCACATTGATAAGAGTATAAAATGCCCGCGGCCTATGGACGGCCAAAAGCCCGCCCGCTGCCCGGGCAGGCCCGGCCCGGCCCGGCCTGTTGAAATGTGAATATTCACATCGACATATTAACATTCACATTGATAAGAGTGTAAAATTGGCCTGCAGCCCATGGGCGGCCCGAAGCCCGCCGCAGCCCGAAGCGGGCTTGGCCCGACTCGTGATAAGTGAATATTCATATTGACTATGTTAACATGCACATTGATAGGAGTGTAAAATAGCCCGCGCCCGTGGCTGCCCGAAACCCGCCCACGGCCCGTGGGTGGCCCGGGCGGGCTCGCCCCGCCTGTTGACAATGTGAATATTCACATTGACATGTTAACATTTACATTGATAAGTGTGTGCAATTGGCCCGTGACCCGTGTGCAGCCCGAAGCCTGACCTCAGGCCAGGGCGGCCCGCTCGTTGGCAATGTGAATATTCACATTTGACATGTTAACATTCACATTGATGGAGTGTAAAATTGGCCCCAGCAGCCCGTGGGCGGCTCGAAGCCTGATCGCAGCCGAGACGGGTTTGGCCGCGACCCGTGACAATGTGAATATTCACATTGACATGTTAACTTTAACATTGATAGGAGTGTAAAATTTTGTTTCCGCTGCCCGAAGCTCGCCCGCGGCCCGGGGTAGGCCCGCGACCCAAACCCGGGCCGCCACGAGCTTCAGGCCGCCCGTGAAACAGCGAGTCAATTTTACACTCTATCAATGTGTATGTTAATATGTCAATGTGAATATTCACATTGTCAATAGCCGGGCCGGGGCCGAGCCCGCCTCGGGCCCGCCCACAGGCCTGGCGTATTTCGGGGCAGCCACGGGGCACGGGCTAATGTTACACTCCTTATCAATGTGAATGTTATATGATAATTGAATATTCACGTTGTCAAGCGGTCGGGCCCCGTCCGCGCCCGAGGGCCAGGCTTCGGGCTTGCTCACGAGTCACGGACCAATTTTACACTCTTATCAATGTATAATGTTAATAGGTCAATATGGAATAATTCACATTTGTCAACGCAGCAAGCCGGGCCCCGTCGCTGGGCAGCGCGGCGGGTTTCGGGCCGCCCACGGGCCAGAGGGCCACGGGCCAATTTTACAACTCCTATCAATGTGAATTGTTAATATGTCAATGTGAATAGTTCAACATTGTCCAACGGGTCGGACCAAGGCTTATCCCCGCGCTTGCCCATGTGGACGCGAGTCAATTTAGACACTCTTTCATGTGAATGTTAGCATGTGTCATGTAATTTCACATTGTCAACAGCCGGGCCGGCCCACCGCCGGGCCGCCCACGGGCCGTGGGCTAGTTTCAAGCAGCCACGGGGCGCTGGCTAATTTTATATTCTTATCAATGTGAATGTTACATGTCAATGTGAATATTCACATTATCCAACGGTCGGGTCGGGCCCGCCCCAGGGCAGCCCACGAGTCGCGGGGCGGGTTCGGGCGGCCACAGGCGCGGGTTATTTTACGCTTCCTATCAATGTTGAATGTTAACATATCAATGGATATGTTCACATTGTCAACGGGCCAGGTCGGGCCGGCCCGCCCCGACCCGGGCCCGAGCTTCGGCTGCCCACGGGTCATGGGCCAATTTTACACTCTTGTCTAATGGGTATTGTTAATGTTAATATGTCAATGTGAATATTCACATTGTGAACGGGCCCGGTCCGGGCCCGCCCCGGGCGCGGGCTGGTTTCGGGCCGCCCACGGGCCGCAGGCCAATTCTACACTCCTATCAATGTGAATGTTAACTTGTCAATGTGAATATTCATATTATCAACAAGTCGAGCCGGGCCTATTTTGTGGCCTGTGGGCCGGCCCGGCCGGCCGACCTCGAATTTTCCGGGCCCCCCACGAGGATCGACATGGGTCGGGCCCTTACACATTGATGATATGAACATTTACGTTGACGGTGTGAACATTCACATTAAGGGTATTTTGGTAATTATGTCACCCATAGGACTTATTGAAATATAAGAAAATAATGTGAACTAAATGGAATATAAGTAGATGAAAAGGGTATTTTGGTCTTCTTATCTCAAATTGGACCTAATGGAATAGTCAAAAAGAATATGGGTTGGATGGAATAAAACTCTTAGAAAATGGATTTATCAAAAAAGTTCCCTTAATAAATTATGTAGTAATACAACGAATTACATCAACAAGAGAAATCGGGACAAAATACAATCATGAAACATGATACATGCCGCCAGCCATCAAGAATCACTTTTTTTTTTCTTTTTTTTTTTTTTTCTTCTGTCTCCTAAGTTATAAGTAAAAATTATATCAAATACTAACAGAAAATTATAAAAATAAAATAGTAAAAAAAAAGAAGTTAAAAATAACCCTAAATTATATCCACCAGCCCCATATTAACATGCCACCTCAAATTCAAAGTAGAATGTAAATATCATTATTTTAAATAATTCATTCAAGGTTTTCAAGGGCCATGATGGGTGTTAGGGTAGAAATAATGGTAAAATTATTGAAATCTTAAATACACTTTTCACAAACAAACCCTTATTACAGCTCATCATTCATAACAACTAAAACAGAGCACTCATCTTCAGCCGAAATAGCAGAAACAGAGTAACTGCTCAAACTAACAAACTGTCTCAACTAACTACAACACTCTGAAACAGAGTATATAACAGTGAGATTTCCAAGACCCTCTACAAATTCTATAAGGTGATTCGGATACATCAACTTCTCATGATAACCTAACATATACGAGAAAACAATGAGGAAAAAAAATAAACAAACAAACAAACAGAAAACAATGCTCGAGTTAATCGCGTGCAGATTGCCCTAGACAACCAACCATATTATATACAAACACCGGATAAAGCCAGAGCAACCGCGCGCACACAACCATTACCACTGTATTAACATGTACAATATAAAACTCTCACGCTTGAGCAGCATGCAGGGCTGCATACGTGCCACAATAATTTCCTGAACCTTTCTTCTACACCTCCTGCAGGGCTGCATACGTTCCACCATAATTTCCTGAACCTTCTTCTACACTTCCTGCCTGCCATGGTTGCTACTCTTCAAGATGTTGTACTTGCAGAGAGGGCAAGTAGCATTGATGTAAAGCCACTTGTCTACACAGGTACAATGAAAATGATGGCCACATGGAAGTTCCCGAAGCTCAGCTCCATCATCATAAGTGCAAAGGCATATGCAACATTCCTATGGTTACCATAAACATCATTTTAGAGAGATGCATAATTTTCTCAACTTAATAACTAACACTCCGTTTCAGATCATAGGGCGAGAAATGATCATGATATCTCATCTAACTGAGAAAAGAAAAAGAAAGGATTGTTTTTTCTTAATATCATGTATGGATAAGTAAGAAACTAAAAACATGTGTGAGAGGGATATGAGTAAGATTTTTTTTTCTTCTTTTATATTTTAGGGGGCACTCTAAGATGAAAAATATTTTATACCCAAATAGCTTGTTTCTTACTAAATCTCACCACTACTGATGAGAAATGAAATAGGCAAAAATAAGAGTTCTCTTCTCATCATCTCACACCTAATTATAAATCAAACATGAGAAAAAGCCCTATTTCTCATAATTTCATGTCATTTTTCACCTACAAACCACAGGTACAGGTACAAATATTGTTACTAGTACGATACGGGTATGCCAATATGGCAAAATCCAAAAAAAATATGACACGGGTACAGTTTGGTGTGTTTGTAAAAAAATATTTATTTTTAATTTGGAGTAATGCAAAAATTGATTAAGTGATTTAATTTGTTAAGATCCGACCTACAATTAACATTTAATGCTAAAAATAAAGGTATGAACCAAAATTAAATGTCATTATATTAAATAACTTACAAACTATAGTTTAATTTTAAAATCATACTAAGCATAAAACTAAATAAATAAAAAAAAATTTAGTGAAAGGAATTTTATTTATGTAGTAGAAGAAAATATTATTTCGACGGAGGTACAATATGGCTTGGGTGGTATATACTAGGTACGTCTGGATACGTCAAAAATTAAGAGAAAAAAATTTGGAAACGTATTTCGTGTACTTGATACGTATGTAGAAATACCATACGAAGTATCATACGTCAACAAGTACCCGATACGGGTACGACATGTTTGTCGAAATACCCATGCTTCATAGTTTCTCACCAAATCACCTCATCCAAAAACACACGCGCGTGTGTGTGAGAGAGAGAGAGAGAGAACATACAGCATCCTCCTGCAAAAGATCATGTTCAATTGGTGTATCTGTGCCACATTCAGTCATCACTCCTGTCAAAGGTTCTTGTATCTCACCATCAAGCTTGTCAATACCAACCCTTCGAAACTTGTATTTTGTGAGTTGCTCAACGTCTTCTCTCGATGCTCCTTCCTAGTTTGATAAACAGTGGTGCAAAGTAATGTGGGGAAAGCACAAGCAAGAAGGCAGAATGTTAAGTAAATGCTGCCTTATGAAGTACCAACAATAATGGCAACAATAAGATGAAATCGTTGGAGTATATAAAAATATTATTATGATTTCGTAAACTATGGATTACTCTTTGAAAAATAAGCAATAGTTATGTCTCTAGGTTTGCCTCACGGCGAGGGTCATTAAAAAGAATGCCACATGGCTCAATCTTATAGGTTAGGGAACACACCAATATCTGGCTGCAGCTTCAGGCATTACTTACGTGTACTAGGACCAACTTACATAAAAGTTGTGCCTCATACAATCACCAAAAATTTCCAGTGCACAGAATATCACTCCTACATAATCCTTTAATTCAAGGTAAAATATGTTTCACCAAGGAAGTATATATCACGTGCTCATCACCTATGTTGCGCCAATTTATAATTGTAAATGAATGCATTTATCTCTCAAACATTTCACTAGCCTTCGTTTTCCATAACCTCTGAATCAGTTTCCCTTCTAGGGTCAAGATCATAAGGTTTGAAATGGTTCGTTGATTCATATCTTGACTAATAAATGAGTGCTTCATTCTCTGCCAAAGAATATCGCAATGAGATGAAGAGACCCAGAGAGCGGGCGATGTGTTAGAAGACACTAAGGCCCCGTTTGGAGGGTTGACTATTTTAGTTTTTGGCTATTTTAGTAGATTAAACTACTTGTGTTTGGGGAGAGGGTTAGATTATTTTGTAGTTGGATATGATGTTTGTGAGAGAAAAAGTAAAATGATTATGAGTTTGATGTGATATTTTATCTTAATGATTATTTTAGCCTATTTTGTCTTTTAGTGCTATTTTAGTCCAAAAGGCTAAAAAAGCTTCTCCCAAACACCCCTAAAAAGTATGTGATCACAAGGGGATGGAACACCCCGGATCAATTCAGGAGACCTAGATAAAGCATTCAAATGCCCTGAAACAGAACCTGTGGAAGAAGAGGAATGGAAGACTATACCAAAACAACTATAAAGACTCCAAAATGATAATTCAGGAGGTGGTGATGAATGTTAGATCCAAATTATGCCTCCTTTAAGGCAAGGACAGAACTAGGATTTTAACTTAAGGGGCTGGACATATACACTAACAAAAATTTTGAAAAGAAAGTATGGATTACATCATCAATTTCTAATAAGTTGTTGTATCAATTTTTTTTGGGATAAATTAATAACTTGTTGTATCATTTATAGACATAGAGAAGGAAAGGTAGAAGAAAATAATATTTAAATACCTCTAATTTTTAACTAAGAAAAGAAATTATGTTGAACTAATAATTTTTCTTTCTTCAACAATACTGCCCAATACTCCTGTCCTTTTGTCCTTGTGAATCAATTAAAGAGAAAACAAGATAGAGTCTTATGCCTTACGCAGACGCAATCATAGTAAATAAGGGGAAGAAACATAACAATTGCTTTCAGTATTCTATCTCTGGATAGGAGTACTAAATGTCTCACAGTCCAACATATAGATATCCTCTACTATATATATTGGGTTCAATGTGATAATATATTCAAGATCATTCAAATAAAAATCAAATTACAATTAAAAACATATTGATTATGTATTAATTTACAAACTTGGGTTTATATTAACATAGAAGGGATGACCACTTAAATTATTTTAAAAATCTAGAGGGGCGAGTCTATATATTTTTGTAAATAACTAATAGCTAATACTAGTGTAGCGTATGTATCCTTGCTTAAATGTGTCAAAAATACTCAACCCAACAAATGGTTGCAGTGTGGATAGAGAGACTCGCAGTTACAATTTTTGTATATGGGAATTAGTTTATGGTGTTATGGAGGCAGTGACTTGGTGATTTGAGCTGTCGTTTGCCTTGCTTTGGTTTCCCTTAGGTTTTGGGGCTTGTTGAGTAGCTAAGGTCTACGTTGTGCTCCATGTTGTGGATCCTAGTGGTCGACTCCTTATTTGTATTTTATTCTTGACTAATCATGTATTCTTTTGCTTTTGCTTTATTTTGTCTGTCAGTTTGCTCTTGGATGGCTCCCATCTTGTTGATGGTCTCCATCCTTGTTGTATTGGCATGGGGTATGCCCCATATACAGTTTTATTTGTTAGATCTATGAAATTCTCTCCTTTACAAAAAAAACTAAGGTGAATGCAGAGCCGAGGCAAGGTCAAGGTTTGTGGTTCTAAAGGTGTATATGTGCAGATAATCCAAACATGTCGGAATGCATTATTCACTCAACTAGAATTCTTCCAACTAAAGGAACATATAAATAATTAAAAAACACAACAAATGAAATATTAAAAAACACAAGTAAACGTACTTATGAACAAAAAAAAAAAAAGGCACAAGCAAACATGAAAGTGCGAGAGCTACCTGATCTGCCACAGCATATAAGATTGCAATAATACATGGAAGGCAACAGCAAACTGCAATACCAATCACACATGCCAAGGCAACACAGAAAACTACGAAGAACACGTCAAAAGCCAAGAAAATTATACAGAGCCTGCACTCCAAAACCACAATAACAAAGTATAAGGTCATCACTTTCACATGATGCTAACAAATTTGAAAGACATCAAAATTCCATGTACTCAACAAACCAGTAAAGCTGTGGAGATTCCCTTGCCAGTAATTGTCCACCCGCAGATACCCAGTAAAATCCAATCATCCACCAGAGAAACGAGAACATTGTATTAGCAGATTCTAAGTGCTTGGCCACCCTACTGTGAAATTAAAACACAATCAATAAAAAAACATAAAAATAAAAGTTCCTAAAGATCAGTGTAGTGTTTCCTCCACCAAATCACTGTAGATGGTTTCAAATTAATCAACTATCCACATGTACATAACGTTGCATTAGATCATCTCCAATCCTTACTCTCTTTTTTTCTTTTTCTTTTTATATCAAATTTAAATGATAATTTGGTTAAAATGGAACGCTCGAATCCTTTCTCTTCTTTCTTCAAATCTTCGTGAAAAATTCGAAACCTACCTTTAAAATCTGTTGTAACCATTTTTTATGAAACACGCTATTCTTTATAAAAATTTGTCAAATTTGAGTAAATTTTGGTGAAAGATTTCTTGATTTAGTGAAAAACTGGTCTTTTTCTATTTGATACATATTTGATGAAATGATCAGAGCACACTTTCAGCCATTTTTTCATTAAATTTGAATTTGATAAAAAAAAAATTATCAAAGAATTTTTTATTTTACCTGGTGCTGCCATCACTCAGATGAGCCAACGAAACGTAACCGCTCGAAACCCCTTCCACCGCCACCACACCCGCTGCAGACCGCCGGCGACGGCGGCTCCGGTACTCCACAAACACGCAAACCATATGAAGAACGCATTGAAGAGAGTATCCAACAATCCACAGCCTCAGCGGCATCGACGGCGACTCCTTCCGGCTGAGAACCAGAACTGCCACCGTGACGGCGACGAACGCGAAGTTCCATATCATGTCGAGAACCACCACCGGCTTCGAAAACGCCCAATCGCTCTGGCGCTCCTCTAGCTGCTCCGCTGCGGTCTCTCTCACGAGCATTGACGGTTCTCTCATCATCCGCCGGCTGCTGGCTCGCCGGAGGAACCGAGCCGCCTCGCTCAAGCTCTGTCGCCGGAGATAGCGACGGCCGCGATCGTTGTTCGCCGCGGCGGAGTTCAGCAACGGCGATGAATCCAATGTGTTATCGGGGGAAGATCTGGTGGGAGAGCTCGATGTCGACATTTTTTATTTCGGAACCCTAACTCGGAGAATCGACTCAGTTGAGTTCAATTCATGTTTTTGTACGATTTTTAGAGAAATGAACAAATTTTATACATAGTGTGGAACGGAATTGATCGAATGGGACTGATTGATATAATGGGATTGTTTTTGAAAGATAGTTAAGAGTTAATTTTTTAATTTTTTTTTAATTTTTAAAAGAATGTGTAAAAAATATAAGGGATAATATAATTTAAAATTGGTTGAAAGTTAAAAGATAATTTTTAATTATCTTTTTAAAATAGGATTTGGAGTGGCTGCTGTGCGAGTGCACAGAAACCAATGTTATGCATTCAAATGGGCCTACTTCGAGGCCTATTTCAATCATTTGAACCTTTCACATTTTTTAATACATAATAAAATATATCTGTAAAAAATTAAGTTAATCGAATATCGTTTATCCTTTCATCAACTTGATTTTTTATAGGCATATTCTACTTGATGTATTCGGATATCGTTTACCCTTTCATTCACATACAAATGTAAGTGGATGAAAGGAAAAAGATATCCGATTAGCTTGACTTTTTACAAGTATATTCTATTTAATGTATTATGAAATATGAACGATTCAAATTATAAAAAATAAATCTTAAAAATGAATCCATTTAACTATACAACAGTAACAGCAGCAATCCTAAATCTCCAAAATAGCCCATAAATATCAATATGGATGGATTAGGGAGGTTTTGGAATTGGAGAAATGTTTTCTTTATTTTATCTTTTTATATATTTATAGTTAAATTACATTTTATCATTTTTATATTTTAATTATTTTCTCATTTTGTCTATTGAAATTTTATTTTATTATTATGTTTTAATTTTTTTATTTATTTTTAAAATTAATTTTTGTTTAAAATTAGATTAAAAAATATTATATTAATTATCATATGATATAAAAAAATATATTATTATATTAGAATTTGAATTTGTAATGTGAGTTATATATAATAATAAAATATTTTTATATCACGTAGTTGTTAATATATCATTTTCTATCTAATTTTGAATATAAATTAATTTTTTAAGTAAATTGAAAAAAAAAATATGAATAATCAAAATAAAATAAAAAAAACTTAAGAATCAAAATTAAAAAAATAACTAAGCATACAAAAAGTAAAGTGTAATATTTTTATTAGAAAATGTTATTTGTGTGAGCCAGCATCCACATTCCATAGGAATGGAGGTCAAATGTTCTAAACAGTAAAAACATGAGTTTGTGAAATCGTGATAATGTACATAATATAATCACAATATTTTATTACAAATACTATAACATGGGGTAACATTTCTTATCAAAATAACATTTACACCATATAATTTATAATATAATAAAAAGTGGTTTGTAACTTTTACTTTTGTACACTACCGATTTATTCATTTTTAACTTTTATTTTTAAATGATATAATACAAAATAGCACAACATTTTTTTTATAATGTGCCAAATTTAAACATGTATGTCATAAATTTCTTTTATTTCAAACAAATTTATAAAATTTGTGCAATTGAACCTCTTTCATAAACACAATACTTTGTGAATTCGTGTTTTGAAAAAAAATACTTTTTTTTTTTTTTTGGATAAATGGAATTTTTTTTTTTTTTTGATAAATGAAAAACAAAGACTTTGAATTTACAAATATGTGCATATTGCAATCTTACTATGATAGAGATTTAAAATTGAAATTGTACGAGTATGAAATAATCTTCTCGTATAATCCTTTTAATCAAGCATGCACTTCTCCAAACGTCGTCGCTTTACTTCCTAAAAACACAAACGTGAGCTAGCCGACGGGTATATGCTGGATACCACTCCGATGCCTAAGTCAGCAAATAGACAATAGACAAAAAGCTCTGTATTTCTTGGAGTAAAAGTTGTGATACCTGTACATAGGTTCTGTCATGAGCTTTTATAGATTCCGTCTGGCATAATTCTAATAGGATTCCAACTCTCCTTAGCAGAGTCCTGCTAGGAATCACACTCCTAGTGAAGAGTGTCTATCCTGATAATCCTCTACTTACCACCAACCAAGTAAGATACTTCTCTCCATTGTCTAGGCTGGTTTAACCGAACTAGCTTATTTCGGTTATGCTCTTAACTAAGCAATGACGTAGAGGGCATTGACTGAGCTACACCTAGCTCAGCCTCCTTCCTATAAAACACCTCGGCCAGCTATCAAGCCTAGCATCAGTTAGCTCGATCAACCCTTCAGCCCAGTATGGTACTCAGACAAAAATGGGACCGAGCTACTCGAAATCCATACCCCGGCCTTTAGCCCGGTCCATAACAGAATCGTAGCTCGGTCTTCTATTTATTTATAAATTACCCTCTCAATTGCCCCTTAATTCCATCTGCAAAGCATGTTTGGGATTACGAATTTATGGCCGAGCTGATGGTTCCAACCAACCGAGCTAAAATAAACAACACTACCGTAGTTAAGATATTCAATCCCACCTAGCTGGGTTAGCTCGGTCCGTAGCACCGTGCCTCCCCCAGTCTGTCGTTTCACGTACCAGACATCATGTCCTATCCATGACACGTGGCATTTTTCTATTGACTCTTCAAACTGCGACAGCCATCCAACGTTTATCAAAAAACATTTGAAAAGTCTTGCCATTTCTATGCCTATTCAAAACCCATTTTCTGAATCTTACCCCCACTGTTCATCTTCTTCCATCGTTGTGCTTCTGACACCTACTCCCTCTGCCCTCTAATATCTTGTGCTCCAGCTCCTTGCACTTTACTTGCTCCATTGCTGTTTGGATTTTTCATTCACACTCAAACTCGTAAATTCTTGTAAAACTTTTTTTCTTATGTTCCTTTGTATTCATTCTTGTATTTGCATCTCTAGTATTTAATCTCCATATACGTGTGTTGAAAATATTTGAACAAACACTTACGAACTTGAAAGGAATACTGCCAATCATAAAAGCACACCAACTAGTTTTCAAAAAATATGTTTCGATCCAAAATCTCTCTGAGACCAAACCAAACACTTATTTGTGAATCCAAAGTCGCCTTGAGACCGAACTAGGTACTTGCTTATGACTTCTAGGTTTATTCCTGACCGAGTCATGAACCTCGGGTCAGTCCTGCCTTACGACCGAACTAAAAAATAACTGTAACCCAGATGTAGCCGAGCCAGGTTTATTTTACTTCTACCTATTTTCTTAGCCCAGTTCAATTATCTGGGTATAACACTTTATTGTCACTTTGCAGACTCAACTAGGTTGGCCATGCACACCTTTGCACCTTGCCCCTAGACGGCTTTGCTCAACCGAGCTAACCAAAGCCTCAGATATGCCGAGCTAGGCCACTAAACAATTTTGACAAATAATAAGTTATCATGGATAAATACCGGTTTCTCGTAGATTCCCCTGGGGCCATAGCTGAATTCCGAAGGGACTACCAAATTTCGAATGACGTTCACATCTCCCTAGTTGAACTAGAAACAACACCCTGGGGCAAACCGGGCTTCGTCCCGTTTACCGTGATATCTATTGTAGAAGCCGGTCTTCGATTTCCAATTCAGCCTCTGATATATGAATTCCTTAGGCAAACAAGACTCTGCCCCACCCAACTCTCCACAAATACATATAGGATAATAAATGGCATCGCCGAGCTAAACCGCCGGCTCGGCCTCAACCTCGGATTGGCCGAGCTATTCCATCAATATTCGCTCGGCCAAAATGATGACGGTTGGGTATATTATTTAAGGGTATGAAGAGGCCAAGAGAAAATTATAAAAAAACACACTGGATAAAAACGTGAATGATGACGAGTTCTTCTGGATTTCTGGAAATTTTGAGGACCAGGAAGCCTAGATACCGGGCTACAATATTAACTGGAATAAAAAGACAGCCGGTATGAATACCTCGATTTAGTTTTCTATTTTTGCTCTGTTGTTTATAATTTTTCGTCATGCTAACTGTTGCCTTTCTCTTTGTGCAGACTTGAACCAGCTAAAATCACAATACCAATACGCCAATCAAGATGCTCTTCGTGCCGCGCTCCGATACCGTAATCGAGGTTAGGCCGAGCTGCTAAACTTCAAGCCGACCTACCGATATAGTGGAAGGAAGAAGGTCAAGGTAACTGACTTTCTTCTGGAACCATCACCAGAACCGAACCCAAACTTGCCACAAATCAATCTTATTCCCCTTACTAAAGAACAAAAAATGGCCAAGCGCCGATCTGTTCGAGCCCTGATCACCGTACAAACCACCACTCCAATTGGCGAGGTTCAGGCCGAGGTGCCACAGGCCGGTCAGACACATGAGGTAGTGGTAGCCCTCTCCACAGCCCGAGCTTCGTCATCTCGGCCAAGCAAACGATCACGCACACAAAGCCTAAGGAATGAAGATGAGCTATCCTAAACCGAGCTTCAAGAAACAACACTCTCCCAAGGTCGCAACCGACCTAGCTTTTCAAATCCTCCAACCCTGCCGGCCTGGGCACCAACAGCCACATTCAAGGGTCGCGCTATTACGGCCTCTGACTCCGTCAACGCCGAGAAGGACCACCTGTTGGCCTTCAACTTAGCAAAAAGTGTCTGTCTTCCCACCGACATGGTGCGGCATGAGGGCTTAACCAAGCTGAAGGCCATTCGCTCGGCATCCAAATCGATGATTCTGGTAAGCCCCAAAAATCCCCTCAAACTTGAACAAACGTTTGTTACAGTCCCAGTGCATTGGTTGTCCTCTAACCGCTCTGAACTATGCAAGCCCTGCAAAAGAGCCAAGTGGCTCATAAACGAGTACTTGAGCTCTAGAAGATGGCGCAGTCAATCGTCACCGAGGCAGAATCCAAGGCAGTCGAGCTAAAAGACGCTCAGGCCAAGCTGGCCGAACTAGAGGCCGAAAACTCGAAGCTTGCTGGACTGGTCAACACGGCCGAGGCTGACAAGCAAAAGGCCTTAGCCAAGAAAAAAAACCGCTATTTATGTGAGCTGACCAAGCTGGAGAGGAAGAAGAATACCGAGCTGGAAGACATGAAGAAAAAAATACAGGACGCGGAGGACCGAGGCTTCAAGGAAGAAGAGGAGACGTACGTCCAGCAGTGCGAAGC